TATAATATTTTTATTTATTTGGTACACAGAGTCTCACTATGCAGGTTGGGCTTGTACTGATCCTTCTGACTCTGCCTTCCCAGTGCTGGGATTATAGGCATGTGCCACCATGCCTGGTTTCAGTGGCTGGCACAGCATGTGGTAGTGGGGATTGATCCCAGGTCCTTGTGCTTGCCAGGCAGAAGCTTAGACAGCTCAGCTATCTCCCAGCCCAAGAGTCTAAATCTTGATAGTATTGATTGTCATACTAAATTAGTGCAGTAGACTTCTCAAAATTTGATATGTGTGAATTTTTCCTCAAGCTGCTAAAGACAGGATGTAACTCTCTTGATTGGTTCAAATATTAGAATTAACTACAGTCATATTTTTCTTAAAGTAAGCATGTTTGACAGTTGGTATTGTTTTTCTCACAATCTATTTCTAGTAAGTAATTACTGTTTTGCAAATTTTCATTACATGAGATTTTATTATTTAGCTTAGAAATCACTGATATTATGCTATAGCCAGATGAAAATTTTATTATTGCCTAGGAGCTTGGCTTTGTATCACCCTTACAATTTTTCCACTTACATTTCATGGGAAAAATAATCAGAAATTTATTTCATTTATTTTTTTTTGAGAACTCTCTCCCCATTTTTCAGTCCCTTGATATCCTGGACTTCCTGTACCTCTTGGCCTTATCTCTCTAATCATTAATACTTTAATATCCCCTTGACATTAATAGCTAACATTTTTGAGTGTGTGCTTCTACATGCAATCTGTTGGAATGATTTCATACATGAACTTTCTGTAATTCTCATGCACCCTTGGGATGGAAGTACAGTTATTTTTTCCCATTTCATAGATGATAAAACTGAGCTAAACCAACATTCAAGACCCACCAGATAGCTCAGCAGACTAAAGCACCTGCTTAGGCAGAGCACAGAGGCCAGGGTTCCATCCCTAGGGTGCCAGCACTGCCCCTGGGGCACACTGAGATGGTGATTGAGACTGGGCATGGTGGCGCATGCCTGTAATCACAGCACTTGGGAGGCTGAAAACAGGAGAATCACTACAAGTCTGATAAGTGTAGTGAGACCCTGTAGACCCCACATCCTGTACCAAATACACAGAAAAAAAAAATCCAAAGCCATAGAGCTGTTAGCTAACAAAGCAGGTATTTGATTATGGGCACAATTTAGGAGGCTGCTATCTGAACTATCAAACTATCAACCTTGCTTTTATAAAGCGTGGGCCCTAAATCCCACTACATAAGGGAATCCGTTCATAGAAATGTGATTCCCAGATCTGTCCCTCGGGATTCAATATGAGCCCAGTAAGCCATGATTTTAACTAGCACTCCAGGTAGTGGTGATTGAGTTCTGCTGAGAAACTTCATTGTAAACTGTGCAGTACCCAGTGCGTAGTAACTGCGACCTTAAGCTGTTACTTACCTGGTCCGTGCGTAGGTCCCCATCCTCAAAATGGTGATGTTCTTTCAGGGCAAAATGAGAGAACAGCACCAGACACACAGCGAATTGTCTGCAATATTTAAATCCGTGTTTTTCATGGTGGCAAATGCCGTTGCGTGAGTATTGCAGGGATGGTTGATGGTGGCTACCATTTCAATTCTGTATTACATACATAATGAAAATATATTAGACAATATGCTAAAGGCATTTCGATGTGAAAAAAAATACCATACTGACTAGGAACATTTTATTTAATTTTAAATTTTCCCTCGTATTACACTGTGTTCTGCTCTAGCATGTTTCTAAAATACTAATGAGCTCATCTGCAATTGGTGAATAAGTCAACTATTTTGGAATAATGTAAAAGTTTTATAACTTTATGTGAAGCCGTGTCTGTCATTAGGGCGATTTATTCTACAGAAATGGAGACAAAATAGTAAAAAAGTGGAATTAAAGTACAGTCCAGGGCTGGGAAAAGAAGCCCTGAGCTTGAGTGTTCTATAGTCAAAAGGAACACTCTGGGTTCAGCTTTATTTTTATTTGTTTATTTTATTTATTTATTCTTCTATGTATTTAGGACAGGGTCTACAGGGTCTCACTACGTAGATTCGACTCGTCGTGATTTTCCTGTTTTCAGCCTCCCAAGTGCTGGGATCACAGGGGAGCGCCACCACGCCCCGTCTCAGTCTCTGTGTCAGCGCGCCCGGGGGGGGGGGCGGCCCCCCATACTGAGGATCGAAGCCCTCGGAGCGACTGCCTACGTAGGTGCTTTAGTCTACTGAGCTCTCTGGGGCTCAGCGTTAAAGACATCGAACCAAAACAAACCAGAACAAGTGCCGTATCGGGAGAGCAATGAGAAAGTGCTGAGCTCTAGCTCTGAAGAGATTTCATATATTTGCATGGGGCACTGACCCTCTCACCAGATCAAACACAAGCCCATTGTCTCAGTTTTCCTTCTACTTGGATTTTTCTACCATTTCTTACTAAAGTGTCAACAGCACTTGTACTCATTAAAAAGAAAAAAAAAAAAAGTCTGAGCTGAGCTGCTCTCTTGGGTGGTCCAAATTGTCTTCCAAGGTACCAAAGTTATTTTTGTTAGTGATCTACTCAAATTGCCTCCATTTTGACTGGTCCTCTAAGATTCCATTTTTCTCTCCTGTCTTGCTTATTTTTAGCTATGATACTTTGTGTGTGGTGCGAGGATGCACAGTGAGCTTTCATTTCAGAAACAATCTGTTTATCAGGAAGTCATGTGGAATGCTTTGTAAATTGCAAAGTAACTTACAAAAAATTAAAAGGCGAAGTAACTTACAAGAAATCATTTCATTTCTCTATCCTCACTAGTGTTATATTTGTTTCTTATTATCCTGTTGTGTAAAGCTTTCCTGGAAAATTTTTGAAATGTCTGCAAAATTTGTAACTTGAACTAAAATTTCTTTTATGCTGCATGAGAAGGAACATATATTTTACTATACTTACCAGCTCATTTATCTATAAATTATCTCTGTTTAGATAAATGTATATAATAATTTATAGAGTCATAAATAGTAGGCCGAAGAATATCATTCCTTCAATATGAGACATTTTCTCCACTAGTGATCATGATTTTGATAATTAGCAAAACTTAATTGTGTATTTCTATTAAGAATCCAATTGTTTTTCTAGGAACTTTGTGCTTTTACTGATTCTTATGAAGTTTGATGACTATTATTTTCTAAATAGATTAAAAACAGGAGTAAATTTATCTTACATAATTCTTTTTATTTTATTTCATTTTTAATATATTTGGCACAAGGTCTCACTACACAGCTTGAACTCATAGTGATCCTCCTGTTTTCAGCCTCCCCAGTGCTGGGATTATAGGCTTGCACCACCATGCCCCGTCTCCATGGCTGGCTCAGCAGCCTGAGTGAGGGCCAGCATGGCGTGTGGTGGCAGGGATCGAACTTCTGTCCCTGCAGCTACCTAAGCAAGTGCTTAGCCTGCTGAACTATTTTTTTGGCCATATCTTGCATAATTCTTACATAGAAACATAAACATATAAAATAAAACTACTATTAGAGATGAAATTGTTTCTAAACTCTCAATATTATCATCCATATATAACTTCTTCAAAGAAGAAATATTTGTCCAGTATTTATTTCTTGGTGCAACAATTTTCAGATAATAATTCATGTGCATCAGCTTATATATTAAGAATTTTCCCCTGATATGTTTTACCAGAAGTGGAGCATGATAAAATAAATTATTTCATGAATGGGATTACAGTCTTTATTGCCTTGAATATATATTTTGCAACTTTTAGAAGCCTAGAATTTTAAGTTGAATTTTATATTGAATAGCAATGTCATTTTACATTATTTTTTAAAGGTAGTTAGTAAATTGAGAGTCTCCACTTTCCACATACAGGTTTTGTTTGTCTTATTTAGTGTATCTTAATCAAAGTCTTCCTTTTTGTAATGAGGAGCAACCATTTGTGCCTATACAATTGAATTATTGCAAAGCTAGTACATTATGTGCTTAGTCCAGGAATTTCCACATAGTACATTCCATGAAAATATTAGCTATGAATGTTTTTATCGTTTTTATTCTTGTTATAACATTAGAGATAGATAGATAGATAGGGAGATAGATAGATAAATAGGCCTGATTCCTATTTACTGTATTTCATAACCTAGGCAGGCATGGTCTCCTGAATAACTTAGCTGTTTTAGTCTATTGTTGTATGAATTTAACCTGATTTCATGGAGTGAAACAGTGAACACCACAGCTCTGGGCTGTCAGTAGTGAAAAATAGCTGGAAATCAGACAAACAGCTTCATTGCTGGAATTGTTTCCGGGCTAAAAGTTCTTCCAACAGCTGTTTGTTTTGGCCAATAACATATCCATTCTTCTTCTTCTGTTGTTATTTTTTTAAAAAAAATTGGGGGAAATATGACTTTCTTTAAAAAGAGAATACAAGCTGGTTATTTCTGAAGTCAGGAAGAACTCCTGTCCTTACCCTATTGTGGTCTTTTGGCTTCTTTGACACTCGAATTGAGAGCTTTTCCTTTTGTTGTTCTCTTTATTTACTCCCAAAGCTCAGACTCCAGACTGCTGTAGTTAGAAGAAAAGGCAAGATGAGAACTGTTTAATCCTAGAGAAGGAGCTTTGCAGTGTTTACCTTGCAAGTTGCAGAAAAAAAAAAAAGAGAAAGAGAAAGGGAGGAGGGAGGAAAGAAAGGAGAAGGAAGAGAAGAGAGAGGAAAGGGAGAGGAGGAAGGAAAGGGATTGGGAGAGAGAGAGAGAAGGAAGGACAGAGGGGGGAGGGAGGGAGGGAGAGAGAGAGAGAATAGAGAATATCCCAGCCTACAAGAAAAAAAAGATACTTAACTGAAGAAGAAGGGAAGTTTTACTTCTTCCTAAAAGTTATTTTACTATATATACTTTTAATCAGAATGACTGCTAGATTTGTTTAAAGTATTTGTTCTGGAAATACTAAAGTTGGAGTCTACCAGACTGAGGTTAGAAGCATTTTCTTTGGCAGCAGAAAGACTCTTTTATAGAAGCCATGCCTGTACTTGGGGTTGCCTCAAAACTGAGGCAGCCAGCTGTTGGGTCAAAGCCTCTTCATGCTGCTCTTCTGACACCGAATCTTGGCTCTACCGTATCCCAGCATTATTCTTCAGGACCTCTGGAGCTTGCTAAAGCAGAGAGTTCAATGCTTTCTTGTCAGCTTGCATTAAAATCAACCTGTGGATTTAGAGAGGAGGAATCCCTCCAAGGAAAAGCCAAGGAGAAAGAAGACAGCAAGGTTAGTAGCTGAAGGTTACTTATAGTCTTTGCTGAACTGCAAATTTCCTGTTAGGTGGACCACAGAGCTTGTCATGAAGTGGGGAAAATTAAGGGGACACAACTGTAAGAGAGAAGGAGCTAGAATAACTGAAAACCTGGAAATCTAGCTTATGTAAATGTTATTTTAGTGTATGGTGTCAAATTCATGAGCAACATTCTATGAAATGTATACATTGCAATTACTTAGTATTACTTATTGGTAAAGAAATTAATTACTTATTGATATAACTAGTTCTAGATATCATTTTATCACTGATATTACCTAATTAGAAATGTGAGAAAAAAAATGTTCCTAGTCATTCACTCTATCTATGTATCTATCTACGTATCTATGTATCTATGTATCTATCTATCTATCTATCTATCTATCTATCTATCTATGAAATTTAGGTGTAAAAAATACTACAAACTTTTCTCTAAAAGTTATTTGAAAGAATTCTTGTTGGAATATTTGTATCCCAGGCTTCTGAACCTATTGCTATATGAAGGAAGGTGAATATTTTCCTTGATACTGCACGTTTGTCTGGATTTTCATATATGAATTGCAACCTTACTCTTCACCTTCCTACTGACATCTTTGGGCATTAATGTATAATATTCTGTGAGCATTAGCTCATGGTTGCTTGTGGCTGAGCCAGATTACCACTGCTTACTGTAGATGCAAAGCGCCAGCCTGCCCTGCAGCTAAGGGCTTTCCAGAGCTCCTTTAGTGCTTTGATAAGCATCACTTTTTAGTGAGACCTTAACTGTGACGTCACCATCTTATTCTGGCTTCTTAAGGAGATGTTTTGATTTTACTTGCCTTTTCAAATGGAGGTCAAAAATACTTTAAAAATCTACACAGAGAACTGAACTCTCCAAGTACAAAAGAAAGCTCATTCCTTTTGTCTCAATTCTTATTTCATCTTCACCTGTCCAAATCTTTAAGCTTCGACTCAAATGCAACTTTGTTCATAAAGTGTTTGCTATTTATCTTTTTTTCTTATGACTTTTTGTGTATAGAAATAATTGTACTACCCATATTTATGATTGTGTATTTTAATTACATGTCTAAAGTCTTTCTACTTCCACTACTTTGAAAATGTATGGAGGATAGGATCCATATTTTACTCTGTGCTCTAGATACTTCCATTAAGGCTTGATGCATAATAAAAATTAAATACTCATGGAATGAATGGATACAAGAATGAATCAACAGGTAAGGAAGAGTTTTCTGAGAAAGAGTTAAATTTCTTTTCTTCTTCCCATTTCATTTATTAAAAAGGAGTTTGAAACAGATGGTTTTTAAAAGTTCTAACTCTCACGAAGAATTACCTAATTAAGAAACACAATTAACAGTAAATATGATTATAGTTACAGTTGTCAGTCTGCCGTGAGCAACTCAGAGGGAAAGCAGGGGTGCACAAATTAGCAACAAGTCACTTCAAGCATTAGCTTTCTGCAAAGAATTAAAGATGAACACCCTCCATCTGTATTCCAGTGTTCTTTGTACCCGTAATGACTTGTCTGCCAGATTCAATGGAAAACAGGGAGAGACTCATTTTCACTGCTGGATATGGTTGTCATTTCCGTAGGTTTAGTCAAACATCTACTTAGCTAAATGGCCTTAGCTTAAGACTTGACCACTAAGAGCCCTATTTGCAATAGCATTTTGTTGGTCGCTTTGGTTAGCAAACATCAATCAAATATCCCGTATTCCAATATCATTCTGTGGCAAGCACAGTTATATTTATATTTAAATAGAAATCTTTTTTTTTTATCCATGCCACTTATCAAATTAAACACTTTTCCAAACAAATGTAAAGAATGCCTAGTCAGCATTTCAGAATATTTCAGAATGCTAGGAAAAACACTTTTTAGAGTTTTTTTTTTTTTTTTTAAACCTTTGGGCAAATTAAAAAGAAGTGAAGAAAATAGCAAAAATGATCTGTGTAGTTAGGGAGACTTAGATGGGCTGCAAACAATTGGAAACTCAACACAACAATGAAAGACATGGTAAGCATTTTTTTTTTTTTTTAAACTGGAAGATGAGCTGTGAATGGCTAAATGTGTGACTCTAGAAAATGGCCAGGGATGCAAGCTTTCTTTGTTTCACTCATCATCATCTCCTTGGGGCTTCCACCTCTCAGTTTTGAGGAGATACATGATTTTCACACAATTAAAAAGATATATCCAACTTCATTAAATGTTTTGACATCTTGTCAGCCTACTTAGCATGTCAAGGCCTTTAACCAGCTTTTGCAATAGAGACTAGAAAATGTGTGGCTTTCTATAGGCAGCCATGTACCCACGTAACAATTGTGGGTTCTCTTTCCACAAGAAAGTGGACCTTGGATAGCACTCACATAAATGACTGTCATTAAACAACATTTATGTGGAGTACTCAATCATTGCCTCACACAGTCTTCAGGTCTGGTTTGAAAGTTTCTCACTTTATTCACATACCATTTCAAGCCTACATTACATATGACAGTGCCAAAGGTGTATCTTCACTCCACCACTTCCTGTCCTGCCCTGCCCTCCATTTTCATTAGGGCAAATGCCATCTTTCCATTCACCTAATCTTGAATTCCTAGGCTGACTCTTGATAATATACATTGTCATCTTACCCCTTATATGTTGTTGGAAACTAGAGATTTTATTTCTACATTATGACTTGCATTCACCCACTTGAGAAACAGTCCCATTTTTTGGTACTAGTTGTTTTCTGTCAATGATTTCAGTTGTTCGAAATTAGTATCCTGTCTTCTGTGCATTTTTACAACCATCAACCGACACATTCACTATACTAATGAAACCACACACTGTCGTTGCTTCTCTCGCCTTAGGGTTTCTCCATGGAGGCATTGTAGTCCCCCACTTGCTGTCAGCTCTTCTTTCTGTACCTCCCTCTACCTAGCAGGCTCCATATGTCTATTTTCTGAGTGTCTCTGCTTCTTCACACTACTCAGTTCCACTATCCCTAAATGTACACCAGATTTCAGTTCCAGGTCACATACCATTTGACAATGTATCATAATATGTCTAGTGTTTTATGTTCTACCTACCTATAACTTGCTCTGATTTCTTATCATGAATTTTCTAATCTCTCTCCTCATGCATTTGCTTTTGCAATCTTTCTGGGCATTCACCCAAAGGAGGAACAGGGTTGCTTTGCTTTGGAACCTCTACATAAGAATCAGTAGTTTAAGTTTAAGAAAGAAGGATCTGTGTTTGCATAGCCCAGCCAGCAGCATATAAGCATTGCATATCCCTTTGAATGACAGCTCCTTGGCCATGCCAACCACTGAGAATATTTCCTTGGCCTGAACTTCTCAATCCCTGTTTGATCTGCAGCTCTTCACACCTAAGCGATTGCCAAGTTCTTTCCACTTGTGTCCAAGCAGCCTTTCCTCCTGGATCACCTGTACAAACTCAATATTTTTTAAGTTATTATAGAAAACAATTATATTCAAGTATCTACCTTGTATTTTATCGGAAGTGTCTCATTTCATTCTTGTATTGCTTCAAAGAAGTAACTGAGGCAGAGAGAAAGTAGGAGTCATTTATTAGACTTGGATAGCAAATAACATCAAATGTAGAATTTAAATCCAGGTTTGTCTCACAAGGCCTTTTTTCTTTATCACTTTATACTCTTTCTTTATGACTTTAATGGCAGTATTTTTCCTAGTGTTTCCTAGTGAACTTGTGGGACTTCTTTCATGTCTTAAATTATCATAGCTAGCAAGCTGTAAATAAATCATCAATGTGACCAGATGCCTAGAACTATCAGGAGAAGACTATTAAGTTGACACATGAACTCTAATGAATTGTATGACAGAAATAAATAAGAGGAACCCCGGGATAGATATATAGCAGCAGATGTTAGTAGAGTGTATCTCTGGCTCTGGCTTCCAGCTGTTTCCTTTTGGAGAGGTTGCCTAGTTGCTGAAGACTGTTAGCACTCCCATTGGACTGCTTCCCTGGTAGCCTTTCCAGAGGTGGCCAGACCTACAGCTGCAGAGGTCGGGTCTCGGGTCCCTGGATGATTCTGTCTTCCTCGTCTGCTTCTGCTGTGCTTGCACATTTAGTTATTTGTATCTAAAGAGACATGATTGTGCCTTTTTATAGCTATAAAGCTTACTTCGGGCTTTACAGTTAAAATGCTTATGTCTGTTTTAATTGTTTTTGCCTGGTGGTAGCTATGTTATAAAACTATTATAATTATGGTTGAATTTTAATATTTTCTGTCTTGGCAGAGTGCTCAGTGTTTGGTAATTATAACATTTATTGCCCTCGAGTAACAGTTGGTAGAAATATGACAATCTGATGCTGTTGTGTGTTACTTCAGCTTGTGATTTATAAAGGCTTTGAAGATTTTTATCCCATTCTTTAAACTACAATGCTATTGAAAACCTCTATATCATTGCTGTGTGTTAAATTTATTGGAAACATAAACTGTTCTTCCATGCATCAATACTTGGATATATTTAATGCCAGCTTGCTAAATACATTATGTTCTTTCTTTCCAAAATCATAGCCATCATTCTTTATTTTAATAGGAAGAAACTGTTGAATTTATTGTTTATTCAAACATAAAATCAGAAAATAGGCTGCTCATTATTTAGCAAAATAATTGCTCTGTGTTTGACCTGTATTCTCCCATTTCCAACAGTTAAAATTTGTCAGATTTAAACCTGTTTTTATCAAGTGGCATAATTAAAAGAACTTCAGAGTAGGAGCTCAAAGATTTGAATTAACTTTTCCTCCATTCTACAGTATCAATCTTGTAAAATCTCTGCACTTTAATCTTTGTTTTTTTGTCAAAATTAAAAGGCATAAGAATAAATGTAAGCTTTTCATATCTATTCCCTTTCTCCTGTCTGGTTTTTGTCTCTTCTCTCACCTGTTTTCAAATTCTACCACTGCAGTAGACATATGGACCAGAACCTTACAATCTTGGTACCAGTGATAGTAACA